GTCCGGCTCCGGCTCGGAGTTGGCGACGGCCGTCTCCCTTGCTGTGCATTCAATGACGAAGTCGGCCAAGGCTTGCCCTTTGATAGATGGCCTTGGCTTGATCTCAATCTGAAACTGGCTGAGGAAGATCGCCCATTTCACCATCCTCGAGGAGCTAGTGGGGCTCCTCATGAGCGCGCCAAGAGGCTGCTGGGTCAGCACATGGACGGTGTGGGCTTGGAAATAGTGCCCCAGCTTCTTCACGGTGTGGACAATGGCCAGCACCGTCTTCTCAATGGGGGAGTACCTGAGCTCGGCCTCCCTGAGTGTCTTGCTGATGTAGAAGATGGCCTTCTGCACCCCTTCGTCCTCACGGATGAGCACGGAGCTGACGGCCGACGTGCTCACCCCTAAGTACAAGAAGAGGGTTTCGTCGGCTCTGGGCTTGGAGAGCACGGGCGGGGACGACAAGTACCTTTTCAATTCGTCGAATGCTTCCTGGCACTCCGTTGTCCACTTGAAGCTGTTTGCCTTGCGCATGATCTGGAAGAAAGGGAGTGCCCTCTCGGCTGACCTGGAGAGGAACCGGTTTAAGGCCGCCAGGCGCCCCGTCAGTCGCTGTACCTCCTTGACGTTGCGGGGCGGCTCCATGTTGATGATAGCCTGCGTCTTCTCCGGGTTTATCTCGATGCCTCTCCGGCTGACCATGTAGCCGAGGAACTTGCCACCCTGGACGCCGAAGGCGCATTTCTTGGGGTTGAGGCGGAGCTTGAACTCCTTCATTATTCCAAAGATTTCCCGGAGGTCGTCGACGTGGGAGGTGGCCTGCCTGCTCTTGACGATCATGTCGTCGACGTACGCCTCCATCGTCCGGCCAAGGACCGCTCTGAAGATCTTGGCCACCATCCTAGTGTACGTGGCGCCGGAGTTTTTGAGTCCGAAGGCCATGACGAGGTAGCAAAAGATTCCCTCTGGGGTCATGAATGCCGTCTTCTCAGCGTCATCTTCATGCATGGAGATTTGGTGGTACCCTCTGAAGGCATCGAGGAACGACATCAACTCGCACCGCGCCGTCTCGTCCACCAGCTGATCAATGTTGGGGAGAGGGAACGGGTCCATGGGGCACGCCTTGTTCAGGTCAGTGTAGTCAACACACATTCTGAACGTCGACGGTTTTTGTGCGAGGACGACGTTGGCCAACCATGTCGGGTACTTCACCTCTTTGATGTGTCTGATTGAGAGGAGCATGGCGACCTCCCCTTTGACGAAGTCCCGCCTATCGGCGGACAAGTAGCGCCGCTTCTGTTTGACAGGCGCGGATGCCGGATCGACGGTCAGCCGGTGAGTGATCACCTGGCGGCTGATGCCTGGCATATCGTCCGGGCCCCACGCGAAGACAACGGCGTATGACCGTAGGACGAGGAGGATGGCGTCTCGTTGGTCCTGGGGGAGTTGCTTTCCAACCCTGAGAACCCGCTCCGGTCGGGAGGTATCCAGAGGGATTTCCTCGACCTCCTCGGCCGGCTCCGCATGTGGCCTCTCCTCGTCCATGGCGACGGCGGCCGTAATGGTGTCTATCCTCTGTCCTTCCCTTTCGGCCGGCCTCGTTAGCTTGAGGTAGCAAGCTCTGGCTATCCTCTGATTTCCTCTAGCGTAGCCGATGCCGTCATTGGTGGGGAACTTCAAACATAAGTGCTTCATGGAGATGATGGCCTCCAAGTCCTCCAGCGCTGGCCGGCCCAAGATCAGGTTGTGGGCGCACTGGAGGTTGACCACCATGAACTCCATGTCAATTTTGGCGTGGTGGGGGCCGTCACCGACTTCCACGGGGAGGACTATCGTGCCCTCGGCATCGATAGAGTCTCCGGTGAAGCCGGATAACGGGGTCTTGATCGGCTTCAGCAAAGCTCTGTCCAGCTTCAGCTGCTTGAAGGTGTCTAGGTACATCACGTTGACGGAGCTCCCCGTATCGATGTAAGTACGGTGGATGATGGAGTCACCGATCTCACATCGGATGACGAGGGCGTCCCTGTGTGACTCCGTACCCGGAGGCAGATCCTTGTCGGTGAAGCTGATCGCCTCCGTTCGCTGCTTCTTCGGCTGGGGGGGAACGTGGGACACCTCCCCAATGTAAAGGGATTGGGCCCATTTCTTTCTCTGAGTGGCGGAGTCCCCCCCAGTGTTCCCACCTACGATGAGCTGGATGTGATTCTTCTTCGGCGGAGGCTCCTCGAAGTCCTCGTCGTCGCTGAGCCTACCAATCTCGCGCTTCTTCGCAGAGGGTTCGCCCCCATGTTTGCCGGTGTTTACCCAAGTGTTTTTACGTGGGCCACCTTTGACAAACTGGGAGAGTTCCCCCTGGCGAATAAGGCGCTCGATGGCCTTCTTCAACGTGTCACCTAGCCTATTGAAGGCAGAGGCTTCATCATCCATCATCCTGCTCGATGGATGTCAACGTGCCGCCCTGCTGGATGGCACCTTCAAGCAGCTGAAGCTTACGGAGCTCCGAAACCGGACGACGACGCGTGTCACCTAGCCTATTGAAGGCAGAGGCTTTTCCACGCGCTGGGGTCTGCCCGGGCCGAAGAGGGGAAGCAGGGTGGGAGTGGGACGACGCCGTGTCCTGGGCCACAACCCCCTCATTGTTGCCTATCTGGACGGCCAACGGTTGGGGATGAGGAGGTGGAGTGACGTTTCCCCCGGTCCTTGGCAAGAGTGCGCTGAGGACGGTGGGGTTCTGAGCTAGGCTGGCGATGATGACCGACAGCGCGGCCTGGACCTGTGGATCCACGGACGGAGAGGCCGCAGCCATAGGCTGGGCCGGGGCGTGATCCGTCTTTTCAGCTCGCTTCTTGTCCAAGCCGAGGCGGGCATCAGGGGCGCCGCCGTTGAGTTGGTTGCGGAGGTCCATTGTGAGGTTGAAGGCCTCCTGGAAGAGGTCCCCTCCGCCGACCTGGTCGGCCGTGGCGTCCTCATCGTGCTCCCTGGGCTCTTGGTCCTCAGGGATGGCTTTGCTGACGAGGTTGCGGTTCGACTTCGTTCTCCCCATGATCAGTGGCTAGCTGTGCTTGGTAGCGACGAAGGGTGCTAACTTGATTGTTCTAGCTCTCAACGAGAGCACCAAATGATAGAGTATATCTAGAGAGAAGTGAGAGCTAGAGAGAGAAGTGCAATAATATGCTTCAATAGAATGATTTTGTAACCCCTATAACTAGTCCCAAAGGGAGTATTTATAGAGAAAATTAGGGTTGGGCTCCCAAGCCTTGGGCTTGGGAGGCCCATTTACAACTGGACCGCTACTGGGCCGAATACAAAGCCATTAATGGGCTGTACAAATGAGTAAGTGTAAAATCCGATTCTGGGAGGTCTTCTTGGCCGACGAGGGCGTCGGCCGACGAGGGCACGGCCGACGAGGGCACCCGGGTTCCTTGGACTCAGGACCATAATCCGAGTTGGCTCCTTTTCGGCCGACGGGGGCGTCTTGACCGACGAGGGCGCCACTCTGTTGTCTTGTGCTTTCTGTTCTTCCGAGTATGTGGGTCCTGGGGCTCAGACCCATATACTCCATCAGTTAGTTTAGTATTCGTGGGTTAGTTAGGGTGTTATATAACTTATATTTGTAAATCTGAAACCTAGGGATGATAATTTTTAATTCCATACTTGTTTTTAAATATGCTGCAACTGTGCTTTATTTTAAAATTTTCATATGAACTCATATTAATTTATTAAAATAATCTGAATAAATGGCCATCAATGGTGAATTGGTCCCTTAGGTAAAATCTTATTGTCTCTAAGGAGGGATAAATACACAGAGCTTGTTTGATAAAGGTTATACCGTTATTGGCTAATATGGCTGAATGTGCTAATTTCTCTAAAAGGAAAAGCTTTTGGTGTAATTCATTGCAACCAAATTATTAAGTCAAAAGCTTTGGGTGAAAAAGAAGCTCAAAATCGATAGGTTTAGATATTTTTTATACTTTCTTACAGTATTAATTTATATATTCATTTATATACTTAAGTTTAAAAAGAAGATTCCATTCCCAGTTGCAACTACAATGCAATTTAAAACTTAAGAAAATAAATTTTCTTTGCATTTTTTCATTTTACTAGCATTTTCCGGTATCCAAGTACTCCTTTATTCTTTCATTGACATATCCATATTTTTTTTTTCATCATTGAATCCTAATTCACTCTACAATTATTTATCACTATATCAATTCAACGCTGATAACTTTTCTCTTGAAAGTCTTCTTGATTCCTTGGACTTATCCTTTGAGCATGACTCACTTGAAGTGACTGATAGAATTGAAGTTGTTGTGTATGTATGGAGAATGAAAGACCATAAAACAATTTTAATCATAAAAAACCAAAGCACCATACCTAGGGACGTAAGGTCAAGGGCCTTGTAGCCCAAATTTTAACTGAGGTGGAGGGGTGGCCAACTGGGCCCCGGCCCAACCCAAATTTTAAAATTGTTTATATTTTTAATGTGAAAATTAATGTGTAAAAATTTATCTGTAAAATCTCTTTGTACCGGTCCAACCCAACTCTTACTTCTGGCTATGCCTCTGGCCCCAAACCTCCCGTCTCAATGACAATCAAAGAAGATTATGAGCATGTGTTGTGGTCATAGTAAAAGCGTGTGTGTGAAGTGGTTGCGAAACCTGTTGTGTGGAGGTCTATTGCATCAAATTGTTTGGTTAGGAAGGCCATATTTTTGTGTTAAAAGAGTTATTTCAAGGTCTAAAGAGAATGAGAAGAAAGAAGTCTTAATTTATTACCGACCATTTTTGTGAGAGGTATCGGCGTTTACTTTCCAGGATTATGTTAAGGCTTCACATAAAGCGTGTGTATGAAGTGTTCAATTTTTTTTACCTTTGCTTGTTTAAAAGTTAGAAATAATCGAACCATGGTGTCTTAAAGTATGACCATAATAATTCATTTATTCCCAAGCAGGGAAAGTATCTGTTGATATTGTCAGACATTAAAGGAATTACTTGCAAACTATAAGTGTTAATTTGTTATTATAGATACATATTAAAATTTAGTTAGGCTTCAAATCAGATTGACCTTTTCTCTTATTAAATAGATTTTCTGGTCTTCCATAGAGTGTGTAGAGTGTCTTGGAGGTTTACAATGGGACTGTTATGGATTATGGTTAGACTGGCACTAGAAAGACCTATACTCTTAGAACTGTTAGAGATAGGGGAAGGTAATAGACATCTTTCTATACAAAAGCAAGAGAAATCCAGACCAATTTCCCGCCCAAACAACCAGATAAATATGGGCCGGGTCGGGTTTACATTAAGAGCTCAGCTCTACCGCAATAAATGCACATTAATTGCTCTGTGCCGTAAACTGGACTAATTGTACTTTGGTTCCTGTAGGTTGAGTGTTAGACTTCAAAAACTTTGCACTTCCAAGAATCTCTACTTTGTTGATCTAGGCATTGAATGCAAGAACAGGGCTCCATAAAGTGTTGCGGTCCAAAAGTTAAGCTTTTGACTTTTCAAACTTGTTGGTCCTTTCAATGCGAAGTATATACCTGGCCTATAAACAAAGCAAATCAATATTGGAGATTCTGCAGAACAATTTTTAAAGCTCTACATACATTTATGGCAGAGTTTTTACACAGATGTTACTACTCTTTTGTCCAATGAATAATTCGTGGCAAATGCATATTAGCTGTCTTAGGGTACCGTGTAACAACGCAAATCTACTTTAGTGATTCTTTAGTACAAATTTATTGAGCCATGTGTATGTCTATTCAAATATCACATCACTAAAGTTTGAAAGCCATTGTTTTTCCATTGACCAATGGTTAATTTATTATACACAAACAAGGCAGTTTTAAAATCATACATAATACTCCCTTCGTCTCAATTTGATTGTCTCATTTCTTTTGGGCACAAGTTTTAATAAAGTGGTTGAAAAGGTAAAAGTTGTGGTTGAGATTTGAATATAATAAAGTGAAATGATATGGACCACATCTTTCTTTCCAAAAAGGGAAACGGGACCATCATTTTGGGACATCCCAAAAAGGAATTTAAATACAAGACCATCATTTTGGGAAGGAGGAAGTAGTATATATAGCCATCTCCAGAGTCAAGTGAGCAACACACTAGAGCATTGGCAATAAATGTGAGAGTATTATGTGTCTTGAAAGTTTGAAATCATTTTAGGGGATACATGATATATTATTTTGTATGATGTATAGGTACATCATATGCCTAAAACTCTTTTTGAAAATTATGCAAATAGAATATCATGTGGTTTTAACAAAGTTCATCAGAAGTTAACCACCCAAATTGGCATGAAAGTGACACTAGAAGTTCTTTCCCAAATGGAGGTATATTTTATGCTATAAACTGTTTACAAAATTATGCAAATCCTAGATTCATGTGTTTTGTAGTAGTTTTCATATACGATTTCCTATTGTTTCTAACAATTTGATAAACACTAAGGTAAAATTGCCATGATTGGGAAAGTGTGTTTCTCAAGCACATCTAGTCAAATGCATCAACAAAAGGTAAATCTAAAAGGTAAAACTAAGACTACTTCAGTATATAATTTTACATACCCTAGGGTTTCAAAACTAGGTGTAGCACACAAACAATCATATTTGCAGGTCCATAAGTCAAAATAAACACATTAAGGTTGTGAGGGCATGTTTTGAAAAATAGATTTATGTGGTGGGAACATTTAGATTGCTGATTACAAATAATAGGAAGATTAAGTTCAAACATTGAATAATCACCAGTTTATTTTGGAAACAACTTGACTGTGATGGTATTTAATTAGGTGAGAATAGTAAGACTTAAAAATTAAGAGGATGAGATGGAGTTCATACCTGAAAAGATGAAGATTCTAGGGAATTACATTTTACGTGCACAGAGAATTCAATCATGTTAAAATGCACCTCAATTAGTATCACAGAGAAATCAATCATTTTTTGTATCTAAAGACCATTTAGTTTTGAATCTGGTAGTCCTAATGTTAGGGGCCACAATGACCAGTAGATGTTTTCACATTTTAAAACAATTGGTAATTACAAATAGATGTTTTAAATGTGTGTTGTAAAGCAGTTCTTATTGAACTGACAATATACATAGAGAAGACCTCAAACATAGAATTAATATACTAGGAGGGGAGACACCGGCAATTCTTTTGTACAATAACAGGTATATCATGTGATTAAAACACTTTTGGAAAATTATATAAATTGAAAAGTAGTGTTTATTTAAGTTTAAGAATATTCCAAATCGACATGAATGACATAGTGTTGATACGATACTATTGAATATTAAAAATGCAGGCCAAAAGTACTCATCAAGCACACAAATTAAAGAGTACTCACTACTATTGATTACTAATCATTTTTTTGTGAACATTGACCATTAATCAATTCAAAATGTCACTGGTGATTCTTTATTGTCATGCATCTTATGTTATGATATGTTATTTCTTTCAAAAAAAATGTTATAATATTTTATTAATTTTTTGGGGAGAGTTTATAATATTTTATTAATGCACGTATAACTCATGGGTATAACACTGGGATGACACAAGGATGTGAACGCATAATGATATATCTTATTAATTTTAGGCTTAAAATTGTTCAGTGAGGTTAATTAGTGATTGGCAAATTTCTTTTCCGAGTTACATATGGACAATTCATTAGTCAGTGAAGCATTGAAACGAATAAGAACACGAAGCTCATTTCAAGGTGGGCAAAATCAACGGCTTGGTCAAGTTCATCGTGCAATTATAGAAACAATAACTTCTCATTCATATCCAACCTATTTCACATCATTAAAATCATTAATCAGTTGCGAAAGAAACACCTAATTACGATTAATGCATACATAAATACAAAAAAGGAGGTCATGGTGATTACCGGCATCAGACGGGGGTAGAGGCTTAGAGGGCATCTTGGTGGAATCCAATTCATCAACAGAGAACATGAGATTTACGGATGATCTTTTGGTGCATAAGAGGGGTGTAGGAGATACTGATGGAAGGAGATGTAGAGCATCAATTTTCTCATGAATCGTTAGGCCAGGGAGAAGTAATTTTGGATGATCGAGGTGCAGTGCATCAGTCGGTTTAACTGATGGATAATGGGGAGGTTTGGTGTATAAGGAGTATATATGTCTAGGGTTGGGTCTAGGTGGATGGTTTAGTGGAAATGGGTTGTGTGGGCTCCGAAATGGGAGTGGATTAGGCCTGAAAGTTAATGGGTTATACTCATTTATCTTCAAATGTGGATAAATCGTAATTATACACATATTAAGGCCCCGTTTGTTAATATCCAAATCGATTATATTTGTTGATTATATTGAAATTTATGAAAATTGTGGCTCAAATGGATGGAATACTAGATTGCCTAATTCTCCTGATTTATGGAAAAAATGATTTTAATATATTTTATTGATAAAATAAAGAAAAAAATATATGAAAATATCTAAAATGATTCTCTACAGTAACTTTAGCCAATATAGCCACAAACGTAACTTCGATTTTGCTTTTTCTTATTTTAGTATTACACCATTCAGCGCGTGAAATCAAAAGTTACACGTTTAATAAGAAAATTGGCTGATAAGCCTGATGAGCCAAAAACATGAACACCAAAGAGGCCCTAAATGGGGTGGTGTGGGCTTATATGCGCTACCACAAAACACAAAAATATTTATTTGAATAATTGGTTTTGTTTTAATAGCATGTATTAATTTCATTTCAATTTACATAAATATTTTTTTGCATTGAAATCTAAACATATTTTAATAGTTTTTAAAGCATACGAAATGTTTTATACTCCAAATAATCATGTCAGAAAATTTGTCTAATTGGAGCACGATTGGAATAACAAGTTAGAAATTTCTTGGTCTCTTTTAAATGTTAATATACTACTATAATTGTTGGGATTAGTAAGATCTCTAATACAATTCATTATGTTTAGAATACTCATAATTTATAATTTGTAGTATTTATATTATTTATAATTTATGATATTTGTAATTATATAATATTAATAAAATTGGACCCATTCGATAATCACTTGATTTGGAATTCATATTCTGGAACAAAAAATTTGGCGAAAAATGTGATAGTCAAGAAGTACTTATAGGACGCTTGACAATTACATTGTGAGATGCACCAATACTTCAAGTTTGTGTTGGAAAAAGTGTGTTAAAAGTCTATTAAATGGTCATTTTGGGGCAATTATTTGAGTGGGGTCCACTTCCGATTTGGGTCGGGTCAAAGTGGTTTCGGATTGTCCTTGCTAAGGGCTACAATTCGATATATGGTACACTCAAAACGGATAACGGGTGAATGAGAAATTGTTTTTCGAAGTTTACCCGTTGGAATGGAGAAAACTAGGAAAATGTGGGTTTTAGTGTGGGTTCTTTCCCACACCGAAAATCACAAGGGAATTTGAACTCTTTATAAAGGGAAACCCCCCCTAAGGAGTTAAGATTCCTAAAGGGAAAAGCTCTCTCACGCGCGCAGGGGGGTGCGAATCAAATCCCGAAACCGAAGAACAAAAACTGTGACTTGCGTGTGCGGGCGACCTGCACACACGAATGCCGTCCGAAAATCTATCTTCTAAAGATAACATTAATTTTTGTTCTTCCGGTACGTTTAGGACCTTGATGTCCAACGATCATAACCCTTAAACAGCCATTAACACACCTTAATCCACCCCTATAAAAGACTAGTAGGTGCTTTACAAAGAAACAACCTTTCATACACTTCGTTCACGTATTTTCATAGCTAAAACAGCATCTCTAGCACTCCATACAAACTCCTTCGGTGTTCTGCTTTTGTTCACGTTCGTTGGAACTTTAAGGAAATCGTGCGTAACACGAGCTTTGGCTTATTCTGCTTCATCTCATTTCTTGTTTTTTCTTTAAGTCATTTTATTTAATTAATCTTTATTAATTAATTTTCTTTGTTTTTCGAAACACACCCAACAATCTTAAAATGTATTCGGTGATTGTTCTACTACGGTAAACAATCTTAAAACTTGTTTTTTGTGCTTTCGAATAACGTAAGAAACGAAAAATGACTTCTCAAGAAAATGAAAATGTTGTTGGGCAGAATGCTTTGAACGGTTTGAATGATAATCACTCTGAAAGCGGAGCTCCGGTGAACATTACAACGCGGTGCATCTGCTTTGGTTAACCAAAGGGCTATCCCTATGGTGACCGTGCCGAGCAACTCTGTGGAGAAACGCGAAAAATTTAATGGGTTAAACTTCAAGAGGTGGCAGAAAAAGATGCTCTTCTATCTCACTACTCTCGGTCTTGCACGTTTCTTGACTGAGGATGCGCCGGTAGTAACCAGGGGTGAGGTGGATGCGCAATCTTTCAACGCGGTTCAGGCTTGGAAGCATTCTGACTTCCTTTGCCGAAACTACGTGTTGAATGGGCTGCATGATGCTCTGTACGACGTGTATAGTAAATTAGCTACGGCTAAGGAGCTATGGAATGCTTTGGACCACAAATATAAGAGCGAGGATGCCGGTGCAAAGAAATTTGTTGTCGGTCGATTCCTTGATTTTAAAATGGTGGATTCGAAGACGGTCTTGAGTCAAGTTGAAGAAATGCAAATGATCTTCAACGAAATTCGAGATGAAGGAATGACGGTTAGCGAGTCTTTCCAAGTGGCGTCAATTATCCATTTATTGCCGCCAACTTGGAAGGATTTCAAGAACTACCTTAAGCATAAGCGAAAGGAAATGAACTTGGAACAGTTGATCCACCGTCTGCGGATTGAAGAGGATAATCGGAAGAACGATGGGAGACTCCCAATCGTTAGCGGCGCCAAGGCCAATGTGGTGGAGCATGCAAAAGGCTCCAAAAATAAAAATAATGGGAAGAGCAAGCTCGGTCCCAAGGGAGGCGTTTCCAAACCCAAATTTAATGGAAAATGCTTCAATTGCAACAAGAATGGACACAAGTCCTCGGATTGCAAGGCCCCACGGAAGAAGAAGGACTCTCAAGTCAACTTGGTGCAAGGTGGGCAAAAGGATGAAGACATCATCCCAGCGGTTGTGGTTACCGAAGTCAACCTCGTTGGATCCAATTCCAAGGAGTGGTTCGTGGACACCGGTGCAACCCGGCACATTTGCTCTAACCGGGAGCTATTCACAACCTTTGAGCCATCAAACGGTGAGAAGGTGTGGATGGGGAACTCTGCTCATTCCGAGGTTGAAGGCATGGGCAAGGTGGTCCTGAAGATGACTTCGGGCAAGGAGCTGACTCTCAACAATGTGTTGTACGTCCCGGAGATACGCAAAAACTTGATCTCGGGCTCTTTGTTGAACAAGCATGGGTTCCGCATGATCTTTGAGTCGGACAAACTAGTTTTGTCCAAATCGAGAATGTATGTGGGGAAGGGGTATGCAGTTGATGAGCTGTTTAAGCTCAATGTAATGACTATTAATAATAATAATAATAAAATCTCTTCTGCTTACTTGTTTGAGTCTTCCAATGTGTGGCATGGTAGACTAGGACATGTTAATTTTAATTCTATACGTAGATTAATTAACATGGAACACATTCCTAAATTCACAATTGATGTGAATCACAAATGTGGAGTTTGTGTAGAGGCAAAACTAGCGAAAACGTCTTTCAAATCGGTTGAAAGAAAAACGGAGCCACTTGAATTAATTCACAGTGACGTTTGTGATTTTAAATCAATACAAACACGTGGTGGTAATAAATATTTTATTACTTTTATCGATGATAGCACTCGCTATAGCTATGTTTATTTATTAAAAAATAAACACGAAGCAATCGATAAATTCATTCTTTATAAGAATGAAGTGGAAAACCAACTTAATCGACGGATTAAAATGGTTAGAAGTGATCGAGGTGGTGAGTATGAAGCACCAATTGGTGACTTTTGCGCGAGCGTGGGTATAGTACATGAACGTACCGCACCCTATTCACCTCAATCAAATGGTGTTGCCGAATGAAAGAATCGTACATTGAAAGATATGATGAACGCGATGCTAGTAAGTTCGGGCTTGCCACAAAATATGTGGGGCGAAGCAGTCTTGTCAAGCAATTACCTTTTAAATAAGGTTCCCCGGAAAAAATATGATAAAACTCCGTACGAGTTGTGGAAAGGCACACGGCCTTCCTATCAATATTTAAAAGTGTGGGGGTGTTTGGCAAAAGTGCTTGTACCAACACCTAAGAAAATAAAAATAGGTCCAAAAACGGTGGATTGTATTTTTATTGGATATGCACAAAATAGTAGTGCTTATCGGTTTTTAGTGTACAATTCGAATAATCCGGATGTACATGAAAACACTATAATTGAATCAAGGAATGTCTCATTCTTTGAAGATGTATTTCCATGTAAGTCCAACGAAGGACCTAGCACGTCAAAACGAACATTTGACGTAGCTATGGAAAATACTAGCGAGGGATCCCGTGAAGAACCCGAACCCCGACGTAGCAAACGTGCTAGAGTAGAAAAATCCTTCGGACCGGATTTTCTCACATACCTGGTAGAATTCGATTCGAATATTCTAACTTGTATGGTAGAAAATGAACCGGATTTTCTCACATGTTTGGTAGAAAATGAGCCACGGACTTATACGGAAGCCGTAACGTCTGCCGAAGGACCGATGCGGAAAGAAGCCATCAAAAGTGAGGTGGACTCTATCCTAAAAAATCACACATGGGAATTGGTTGATCTTCCTCCGGGATGTAAACCTTTGGGATCCAAGTGGATTTTTTAAACGTAAAATGAAACCAGACGGTTCCATTGATAAGTATAAGGCCAGACTTGTAATCAAGGGATACAAGCAAAGCGAGGGCCATGATTACTTTGACACGTATTCTCCTGTGACGAGAATAAATTCCATTAGGATGATACAAGCGATTGCCGCTTTGCGGAATTTGGAAGTTCATCAAATGGACGTAAAAACCGCTTTTCTAAATGGCGATATAGACGAAGAAATCTATATGGAACAACCTGAGGGTTTTCGTGTTCCAAGCCAAGAAAAGAAGGTTTGTAAATTAATTAAATCATTGTATGGATTGAAACAAGCCCCTAAACAGTGGCACGAAAAGTTCGATCATGCAATGTTAATTAATGGGTTTAAGATAAACGAAAGTGACAAATGCGTCTATGTGAAAAGCACGGTAGACGGCTATGTCATTTTATGTTTATAC